TACACCAGAGATAAAACCTGGCTCAATCGAAGATATCAGTATGAAGCGTATGGTTCAATTTTGGACAAACTTTGCGAGGTATGGTAATCCAAATCCACCTCAGAAAACTAAACTCTTCCCTGTAAAATGGCCTAATGTCGAAAAGCAAGACTTTCATTTTATGGATATAGGTGAAAACTTGACTGTCGGGGTAAATCCGGATGCAGAAAGAATGGAATTCTGGGATCAAATTTACGCAATGAGGCCAATCAATATTTCAAAATTATAAATACATAAATAAATTTTATATTCAATTATATTTTATAACTAAATATAATAAACTGAACGAAAATTTCTAATTTATTTTCTACAAAGAAATGTTTGCCAGAATTTAAGCATTTTTATGTCTGGATTCTACTCACATATGGCTAAGGTTGGTAGTTCCCGTGAATTTTGGAAAATATACAGTCTCAATACGAGGGAATTATCGTTTGCACAAGAATATCTAAAATATGTACTTTATCAGTGACGATGACACGAGAACTTTAAATATAGCAGATTAACTTAATGCTGCGTTAATGGAAATGTAAAATATTCAATTTCATACAAAACGGGATCTATATAAATTACTAAAAAAAAGTAATATATTCGAAGGACCTAAAATTTAGATATTCTATATAATTTACTCCTCTCCATAAAACCAACAAGTACTGAAAGCGAGAGGATATTTTCCTTAGGATATTTTGCCACAAAATTATGAAATAAACTTTTAATCGTAAAGTAGACATGTGGAAATTGGAATATATGTATGAAATATAACATCTGATAAATGTCATCCTCCCATTAATTGTTTTATTTACATACATATTAATTGCTCCTAATTATTAAATTAAACATTACCTTTGCTCCTAACATGTTTTTAATTATAGTCGTTCTAGTGATATCTTTTATTGCATTCATTCATTCCATTTATAACTTTATCTTTTATAAGATATATGAGAAAACTAAAGTGTAATGTAACTGGAGTGTAATTTGTGTAAATAATTAAAACCAAATATAAAGCAGAATTACAATAGTGTATCTGATTTGATAATAAACGCTTATCTTAAGTGAACCGATAAAAAGTAAATCATATTAATTTAAAATCTCATTTCGCTAAATTCTCAGAACAGCACTACACATAGGTTGCCAATATGTCTGATCCAATTGTCACCATCAAACAGGGGGACCTGAAAGGTAAAATAGACAAAGACCAAAATGATCAAGATTACTACACATTCCACGCTATTCCGTACGCCAAACCACCGCTTGGAGATCTCAGATTCAAGGTAATTCCATTTAAGATATTTGTACATTATAAATATGTTAAAGATAATATAATTAGGCGCCTCAACCGCCAGAATCTTGGGATGGAGTAAGAGATGCAACCGAAGAAGGAAATGAATGTTTCTCAAGACATCCAATGTATCAAAAGAAGTCGGTTGGCTCTGAGGATTGTTTAATATTGAACGTCTTTACTCCAGAATTGCCCACGAATAAGAAGCATCTGAAACCTGTGATGTTGTGGATACATGGAGGAGGATTCAAGTTTGGCTCAAGCAAAGTAGAAATGCATAGTCCTGAATTCTTGATGACTGGCGACGTTGTTTTGGTTACAGTTAATTTCAGATTAGGCATATTTGGTTGGTTTTAACCTATTTATTATAAAATTTCAAATTTATTGATTATTTTCAGGATTTTTGAGTTTCGATGATACAACTTTGAGAGTTCCCGGAAACGCGGGTTTGAAAGACCTGGTAATGGCATTGCGCTGGATAAAGGAAAACATTGAAAGTTTCAACGGGGATCCAAATAACGTAACAATCTTTGGTGAGAGTTCTGGAGGAGCTTTGGTCCATTATTTGGTACTTTCACCAATGGCAAAGGGTCTTTTTCATAGGGCAATTTGCCAAAGTGGCGTTGCTCTTAATGTTTGGGCCAAGGGCACAAGATGCAGACAAGAATATATGAGACATTTAGGATACGAAAATTGCAAAACCGAGAGGGAAATGCTGGAAATCTTACAAAAGGCAGACAAAAAGGATCTAGTTGATGCGCATTGGAAAATACCAGATGTGAGTAGATAAACAAAACTTTTGAAAATGATAAACTTAAATGATATCAATTTGCAGTTGATGCAAGCTCACGCTGAAGCGCATCGAGTATTTGGACCAGTTGTTGAGAACTTTAATCCATATGAAGAGGCGTTCTTGAGCGATGAACCGTTAAACATATTAAAATCTGGAAACTTCAACAAAGTTCCTATGATCTTTGGTTACACTTCAAGCGAAGGTCTCTTCTTTACGCTTTTTAAAGAACCGATGATAAGCGATTTTGAAATTAGTGTTCCGTACACTTTAAAATTCCCAAGAGGGAGTCCAATGTCTAAAGTCGTTGCTGAGAGAATTAAGCAATTCTATTTTGGAGATGACGAACCATCAGATAACAAGCAAAACTATCACGATGTAAATTA